GTGAGCTGTAATGCCACGGCACTCTGCCCAGGGGGACAGCTTGAGGCTCTGTCTCAGAAAAAAAAAAAAAAAAAAAAGTCTTGATTATCCAACTAGACAGAGTATCAGCACCCAAAGCTGTCCCTGCGGGTACATCGCCTTCTGTAACCAGAAGTAATTAAAAGGCTTGAACTGGGAGAGGGCAGCTGAGCCAGGAGCCCTGCACTGGAATCCAAGCCCACCCCTGGCCCAGGAACAGGTAGGCAGAACATAGCCTTGACGTCCATATTCCCAGAAACGAGTGGCAGTGGAATCCTAAAATTCACCATCTGTCAGAACCCCAAGATTCAATGAAGGATGCCCTTCTACCCACCATCAGGCCAGTGTCCTAGGTGATGTCTCCAGGAAAGCTTCCATAGAATGACCATCACTTAGAGCTGAAGCAGGGGCAAGGGTACACCTGCTGTCTTTCAGATCTTGCTCAGGTCCAAGAAGTGTCAGCACAGGCCGAGACAGGGAAAACGCAGACACAACGTGGGTTTCTAATCCAAACGCACTTCTCTTTATTCAAACCAGGGTCAAACTGGTCAATGGGAATCGCCCTGAAGCCATGTGCCTGAGGGAGGTCGCTTCCAATAAGGCTGCTGCTGCAGTCCAAGGGTGTTCTGGCGGGCTGTGTGCGACCCCCACAGTGCACCTGCGAACACTACAGGCAGGTCAGTCGACAAAAGCAAGGAATTAAACAAAAAACAAAAACACACTCAGTAGATTTCTTCTTTAAGATCCCAGAGTTTCTGGACCAACGAGTCCCAACCCCCCTAAGCCAGGAGTGAGGGGAATAAAAATGTGCCCCACGTCCAGCAGTGCCGACGGAAACCCTGTTTTAAATTAAAAAATAAGCCAGTATACATCGTAGAAAATTTCTCTTAAAAATCTCACAATTTGTAAATGTATATTTTTTCTTTAACATAAAAGTTTACAATATACGGTAAAACAAAAGGCTCAGGAAAATAATTTCAAAAAAAGGAAGAAAAAGAAACCTGAAGTTTTGAATTAAAGCTGAAGACTTTTTTTTTTAACCCTGTTGTTGAACCAGTGACTTTTTTTTATTGTGCTGATGGGTTAGAGAAAGAAATATATTTAAAAACCTCAGTCCAGACACCCACAGCCACCTGCAAAAGCCTTGCACCCCCCCCCCCCCAAGGTTGAGTCGCTACTTTTCCGCCAAGTTTGTGATTGTCACGAGTTCACAAGTTTCAAATCCTGGGTCTCAGCCATGCAGATGTCCACATGCTGAAGGCTAGCGTCGGTAGGGGTGGAATCCTTGCACATTATGGTTTTGACCTCGTCCAAAGCCACTGCTGCCAGCAGGGGGGCCCCCAGACCCTGGCACTGAGGGGCCCCCATAGGAGGGGGGCTGCTGGCTGGGGTCCGAGAAGCCCTGTCCAAAGCCACTCAAGTCCTGCCCATAACCTGCTGGGAGAAGAGAGTCCATGAGCTCTGGGTGAGGTGGTGATCCCCATGTGGCAGCTTCTCTTGGTTGGTGCTGACCTCTGAGCAAGGCTGTTTGGCCTTACGTGTCATCTTGCCTCAGCATCCTTACTCCTCCTACAGGGCAGGGTATGCCAGCCTGAGGCACTGGTGCCCTCACTGGCCGTGCCTACTGCCTCTGGCAGGAAAACCAACTCAGGGAGTTTTTATCTTGCTTAAAACCACAAAAGCAGGACTCACACAGAAAGCAAAGCAGCTTCATGGACCAGTTGGTCTGCCTTTTGTCTGTTCTCTACTTCTCTTCCCCATTAACTCCTAAAGACATGGGGGTGGGAGAGGCCTTGGGTTTGGAGATAGATTATCTTTTTTTTTTTTTTTTTTTTTTGGAGACAGAGCCTTGAGCTGTCACCCTGGGTAGAGTGCTGTGGCATTACAGCTCACAGCAATCCCCAACTCCTGGGCTCAAGCAATTCTCTTGCCTGGCTATTTTTTGGTTGCAGCCATCATTGTTGTTTGGTGGGCCTGGGCTAGATTTGAACTTGCCAACTCAGGTGGAGCCTGAGGCCCGGAGCCGAGACAGATCATCTTACAGGTTCCAGACCTGGCTCTCAAATGGAATGCAGCATTCTTAGGGTCTGACAAAACATCCCATTGGCCCTGTTGCAGGGCACAGTCCTGACCCTCTGACTCTGGGGTGTCCCTCACCACTGCTCTGGGGCTGGGTAGCACTAAGATGGCCCACACACCACCCTCCCTGCTGGGGGACATCTAACAATAGGCATGTGGAGAATTGGGCCTTTGGCCCCAACCTAACTTCACTGTGGCTCTACTGGCAGAGGGGCCACCTGGCCCTGCATAGCCAATCTGTCTATACCACTGATTTTAAGGACATGGGAGGTGCTTCTGGAGACCTAGATAGTACCATCCTCAAAAGGAGACAGCCCTGGCTCCTGCCTACTGACTGCACATACTTTGGAGGAAGCCCCAACCCAGGCCTTCCCACTTGGGGTGCATGTAGGTACAGGTGGGCCCACTAGAGCCTTGAACCAGTTAAGATCCTGGCACCAGCAAGGGCCCTGCCCAAAGAACACCAAGGAATCCACCCTACACAGGAAGGCAAAAGAGTTGGAGGACTGTGGTGGTTTTAGCACCTACTCACAAGGTGTAAGCAAAGCATGGGCTGGGACTCGATATGGAGAATAGATACCCAGGCCTGGCTAAACATGAGACCAGGGTGACTAACCCAGGGCAGCCATGACAGAGAGTAGTAGGCAGATATGCACAGCCTGCACAGCACTCGAGCACACCTGGCCAACTGGGCTTTTCAGGGGGCCAAGAATGCACAGAGATACCCCGGGCAACAACCAAGGCCAGATGACCTCCAGAATGGGAAATTGAGAGCTGAGGGGACTACTTTCACAGCACTCTGGAAGCTGGTGGCTAGTTTGGGGCACGAGCTCAGGCCACTGCATATAGGAACCAGGGTCTCAGGCCATGCCCACAAGAGTGTCCCCAAATGCTGTAAGGAGCTGCTAGTGAAAGGAGGCCCCCAGGCCTCCAGCCCTCCCTGCTAAGATCACTACATCCATACTGACTGAAGCTAGTTTTGATACCAAGTTCAGTATAGGACAAGAATAGCAGACATGCAGAAATGTACTCCATCCTATCCCTGTCCTCTAACAAGTTCCTAGCCCTGAAGCCACTTGAGCCACCTGCACATCGTATTAGGCAGCACCCAAGCCATGACAAGCCACCTCAAGTCCACCCTGTGTCCAAGGCAGACTTGCTACAGATTCAAACCTCAACCCTGTGTGGGGTCTCTGCACCTGCAGAGGGACTGATGGTGCCAGAAACTGGAACCCACCAAGTGGTCTCATAAAGGACACAGAGTACCTCAAGCTGACAAAAGAGTGGAGGCTGCTGTGCCATCTTCCCACAACCCAAGGAGCCTCCCCTTGACTCACTTCCTGGCCCTGGCTCACATCCCCAAACCCTCGGACCCCTGCTGTGGGATGTTCTTCTGTGCATGGTAGATCCTGCTCTACCCTCACAGCTGGGGCCCGAGCTCTCTTCAGCCATCCCACACCACAGCTGTCATCCCTGCCACATGCTAACAAAATTAAACAATGGGGGGAGTCTACCTGAGGAAGGCAAGAGACCACTTACCATACTGACTATAGGGAAAGTCTGGCTGAGCCGTCGGGGGTTTGCTCATGTCTGGGGCAGCCTGAGACGGAGGTGGAGGGAAGGCCAGAGGTGCTGCTCCTGGAGTAGCTGGTGGAGGAGGAACCCCCGGAGGGGCAAACTGATCTGGAGGTGGAGGAGGAGGTCCATAGCCAAAACCTACAAACACACAGGAGCACAAAAATATGGTGTATGGCTATAGGGTCAGCCAGAGGAATACCCATGGCCCAGCCTGGAAAGAGCTTCCCAGATTGGATTTCATCTAAAACCCAAGCAGACAGGCCTTGATAGTCCACGTAACACCCGTAAACCTAGCACTCTGGGAGGCCAAGGTAGGTGGATCACTTGAGCTCAGGAGTTCAAGACTAGCCTAAGCACAAGAGCAAGACCCTATCTCTACTAAAAACAGTAAAACCCAGCAGGGCATGGTAGTACAAGACTGTAGTCCCAGCTACTCAGGAGGCTGAGGCAAGAAGATTGCTGGAAGCCAGGAGTTTAAAGTTACTGCAAGCTACAATGATGCCACAGCACTCTACCCAGGGCAACAGAGCAAGACTCTGTCTCAAAGAAAAAAAGAGTCCACATAAGGAACGATGAATAATTCTAGAGCAAAAAAGAACCCAAGATGGTGTTGCTGCTCATTATGCATCTACTGGCTAGAGTGTTAAGAGAGTAATTTAAGTGCAAGTGATCTAAGCACAGCACAGTCACTTTTTGTTTGTTTTTCAGAGAGAGTGTCTTACTCTGTCACCCTGGGTAGACTGCCATGGCATTAGCTCATCATACTTCACAGCAACCTCAAACTCTTGGGCTCAAGTGATCCTCCTGCCTTGGCCTCCTAAGTATCTAAGACTACAGGTGCCTGCCACAACACCCAGCTAGTTTTCCTTTTTTTTCAGAGACAGTCTTATTTTGTCGCCCTCAGTAGAGTGCTGTGGCGTCACAGGTCACAGCAACCTCCAGCTCTTGAGCTTAGGTGATTCTCTTGCCTCAGCCGTCCAAGTAGCTGGGACTACAGGTGCCCGCCACAACGCCTGGCTGCTTTTGTTGCACTTTGGCGGGGGCTGGGTTTGAACCCACCACCCTTGGTATATGGGGCCGGTGCTCTACTCAAAGAGCCACAGGTGCTGCCCTAGTTTTCTATTTTTAATAGAAATGGGGTCAGGCATCGCCTATGGCTCAAGGAGTAGGGTGCTGGCCCCATATACACAGGGGTGGCAGGTTCAAGCCTGGCCCGGCCAAAACTGCAAAAAAAAAAAAAAAGAGATGGGATCTCATTCTTGCTCAAGCTGGTCTCAAACTTCTGAGCTCAGGCAATCTACCTGCCTTGGCCTCCCAGACCCAGAGTCCTAGGATTGTAAGCCTGGGCCACATCGCCTGGCCCTTTTTTTTTTTTTAAATAGCTCTTTAACAAGGACTAGAATCTAATTCCAAGCATAGCCCAGTCCACATGTTCTGGGTAGATAAATTACCTAAGAATCATCTATGCAGGTGGGGCTACCAGTTTTCCAAACTTACCAAGATGCCAGAAACAGCTTCCCCCATACCCCCTCTTGTTGGATCAGGTCCTACCAGATCCACTTGTTAGAAATAAGGTCAGAGAGGCCAGAGGTGGCATGCTTTGTCTGTACAAGGCTTCTAGTCAGTCATCTGGCTGGAGGGCTGTAGTGTGCTGGGCCCTGATCCAGACTAGACAGCCAGTCCTGTGGACTCTGAGCCCTGCAGTGTGACATGCTCTAAATGTGAAACCTATCCCAGATGCCAAGGCCTTGTTTCTGTGGGCCATGAGATGCTAGTCATGTGTAGAATCTCTGGCAATACTGGGTAAGGTACCACAAGGTAATTCTCATTTCTCTTTACTTTTAAAATGGGGCTACTAGAAACCCACAATCACCCAGGTGTAGTCACTGTTCTGGTAAAGCACATGGGACAATCGCGAGTCAGGGAGGGGCCAAACACCTACCTCCTTAGGTGCTAACGTAAGGAAGTGCTGGTTGGGCAATTATGTGCTTGTGCTATGAGCTCATGGGACCTGCAGGAGCCACGTGAGGCTGTTAAGGCTGGCCACAGGAATCACAGGCAACAAAGGGCCTGGTGGCAGGTGGCCACTGACTAGCTAGCACCCTGCCTGTGGCCTTCTCATGCCTAAGGGCAGACCTGCACACACATACCTCAAGACTACAGCACAAGCCTAGTCCATGCACTGGACTCTGTTCCTCTGGCCAAGACTTACTGAACTGTGGTGGGGCACCATAGCCCTGTGGGAAGCCTTGAGGAGGGGGAAACCCTCCAGGGGGGGTAGACACAATGTAGGATGTGAATGGCGGAGGTGGTGGTGGGGCTCCTCTTCCTGCAGGGGGCGGTCCATAGCCACCTGGAACATACAATGCAGGGTGAGGGCAGAAGAGACCATCAGAAGGCACCCCCTCCTCCCAACCAGACCCAGGTTGCTAAGGGCCCATGGCAGCCTTCATCCCTCCTCCCTGTTCAACAAGAAAAGAAAATGGTGGAGCTGGAGGCTGCAGTAAGCTGGGTGGTGCCACTGTGCTCCAGCATGGGCAACAGAGCAAAACCCTGTCTCTTTGTTTTGTGAGCCTCAGACCTGTGTGAGAAGAGACCCCATCACTTAACAAAAAGAGAGGAATAAAAAGGAAGTGATCTCTGGGTCCTGGGAAGCACACTAACAACAGCTTTACCAACCGCAAAGGGGCCAGCCCAGCTGCCACCAGAGTCGTGAGCCCTATGTGCCTCAACTGTGCCTTTTGGATGCTGTTCTTCCCCTTCCCTCTACACACAAGGACTTACCAATCGCCTGTCCCGCTGGCACCCACATTCCTAGATGAGAAAACAGAAGAGCAAGGTTGGTGCCATGGCTGCAGAGGCACTCAATGCTGAGAGGCAGCCAAAGAGCTGGGACGGGCTCCACCCTGGACTCTCCTGGGGCTCCAATCCCAGGGGCACAGGCAGCCTAGTCCTCGGGGCAGAATCAGCCGGACCCACAAAAGCACTCTGCCAAGGGAGCCTACCACATGGAGAGAGCTAAGTGGGTTGACCAGGCACAGGGCATAGTCCTGGCTCCAAGGGAGGACACCAGAGAAGCCTGAGTGCTATACTCTGAGAATGCAGGAATAAGTCCTGTATGTCCTCAAACATCTGGATATAGAAAATGGGTTTGCCTGACAATGGAAACCGTCAGGTCATGCAGAAATGTTTTAGGAGTAGTGGACTGGACACAGTGATTCATATCCAATCCTAGCACTTTGGGAGACTAAGGCAGGAAGATCACTGGAGCACAGGAGTTCAAGCTATGATGATGCCACTGTACCCCATCTCTTTAAAAAAAAAAAGTAAGGGAAATCTGCAGATTCAGGAAACATTTAGAACCCTGAGACTGGACTCCAGTTGGCAGCAGGGGACATCTGTGCGGACTTTCAGATGGCCAGCTTCAACCCTGCTGGTTCAGCATTTTCCAGAAGATCAATGTGAGGGCAGAGCTGACCATAGGTGGGCCCTGGCCACAGGGGGATATTATCACTTAGCCGAGGGATCAGTAAGTGACAAAGATTCAAAACCTGCCTGGTCTTCACAGCCCCCTGAAGGTGTCCCTCAACATGCCCACACTGCGGCGGCGCCCACAGCTCAGTGGTTAGGGCGCCGGGCACATACACCAAGGTTGGTGGTTTAGAACCTGGCCCGGGCCAGTTAGAACAACAATTGACAACTGTAACAAGAAATAGCTGGCGTTGTGGTGGGTGCCTTTAGTCCAAGCTCTTGGGAGTCTTGAGCCCAAGAGTCTGAGGTTGCTGTGAGCTATGACGCCACAGTGCACTCTACCCAGGGTGACAAAGTGAGACTCTTGTCTTAAAAACAAAACAAAACAAAAAACAAAAAACATGACCACACTACAGGCAGCAAAGGAAAAGGACTTTGCAAGATAACCTGGCAACTCAGATCTTAGACCACCACAGCCCTTCCTGGAACCCTGGTGAGTGACAGTGAGATATAGAAGCTCACAACAGCTTCCTGCTACACAGCAAGACATGGCTGCCCAGCCCACAGATAGGGACCTTAATTGTGGCCACTCCACTCCTTAGAGCCAGGGAAGATAGCAGGAAGCCTTCCAGGTTCTTCCTATAGGACACTCCTCTTGTCAGTGCCAGTGAGTGTATCACATGCCTCAGTGATGGCTTCTTATACCCAAACCTCTATGGGCAGGGGGTTGCAGGTTATGCCCCTGAGGACCTCCAGCCCCTAGAGCAAGGCAGCCTGTGCCAAGGCCATGTGATGGTCCCCACTCCCATCCAGACTGCCTAGGGCTCGAGAAGCCTTACCTTGGGGGCCATAGCCTTGCTGCCACGTTGGTGGGGGCTGGCCTGCCCAGCCATTAGCAGCATTGGGCACGACCCGGCTTCCCCACTGGCTGGCACCTGGCTGTCCTGGAGCTTGGCTCTTGCTGTCCCGAGGTTCAGCCCGTTTAACTTCCACCTAAACAAATCGAGCTCTGGTTTAGGAGGAAGCCACTGGCCTAGCACCCCCTTCCCTTTAGACACACCCTCGGGTAACTTATTACTACACTTAACATCTTATGACTTAAGACTAAATACTTAGAACTATAAACCTTATTTAGGCCAGTAGCATTTGTTCTTTAAAAAAAAAAAATTGTAGTTGTTTAACTTTTTGGTTTAAAAAATGTTTCTCAGGTACAATAGATGCAACTGTAAGATACACTGAGCCCCATCTGCTGCGGACAGCACGGACAGGGCTGAGAACCCTCAGGAGATAGATTTTCATGTGTGACGAGGGATCTTATACTCAAGTTAAATGGCAATGTCCTCCTTCAATGGCCTCTTAAAAACATGGGACAAAAAGGGACCAGGATCTTCCCAGCAATTAGCATCCTCACTGCGGGCCTCTCTGGGACCCTGGACACCACTGCAGTGCCTTTGGGACTGCTCAGAGCCCACCCCCCTGTGCTTTTGGCTCATACCTGAGAAACACAGTTGGTGTTTTAACTTAGATTTTTATTTAAAATGTCTAATGGAAGATAAAGACTTACCTTCCCCAGGCTAACGCTTAAAGAATCTCAATTAACTCAAAATAATGTCAGAGGGAATGGATGTGATAAGAGAATCTTACATTACATCTAACAAAAAAAGTAAACAAACATGCAATAAAATGGACATTTGAATCAGTAAGCAATCTTCATACTGTGTTAGGTCAGCAACCCAAACCCTTCTTTCAATGTGTCAGAAGCCACCTCATGTGGAAGAATAAGGCCACAGGGGCTTGAAACAATGGGTCTACTAAGCCTGACCTCCTAATACTTATCTTCAATGCAAGCCCCAACCCTCCTCACGCAGCCTTTGAAATACAGGACTGGGCTCGGCACCCATAGCTCAGTGGTTGGGGCACCAACCATATACACCAAGGCAGGTGGGTTTGAACCCAACCCAGGGCCTCTATACAATGAAAACTGCAATTAAAAAAAAAAGAAAATAGCCAGGTGCCTGTAGTCCCAGCTACTTGGGAAGCTGAAGCAAGAGAATCACTTAAGCCCAAGAGTTTGCTGTGAGCTGTGACGCTACAGCACTCTACCAAGGGTGACATAATGAGATTCTGTCTCCAAAAAAAAAAAGAAAGAAAGAAAGAATAACAAGACTGTCTCAAAAAAAAAAAAAAAAAAATTTGCTGCCTCAGCATTTGTGAATCCTAAATTTTTCTTATTTTTGTGATAAATTTTAAAGAGAATAAAGAGACAATGAGTCTACCTGGAGTCATCCTTGGGGTCTCAGCCTGGAGAATTCCTCTGCCTGTTAGAGAACAGACATGAAGCGGTTGCAGCTGGAGGCACAAAGTCTCCACCTGCCGCTGCCCCAAGGATGCTCCCAGGATGGGAACAGAATCCCTTTAGCTCAAGGAAACACAATAGCAGGACCAAGGGACCCATTTCAAAGAACTCAAATTAGCAAGTCTTCACATACTCTCCCCTTAGGGGACTGGTTCGTGCTTACAAAGCAAAGCAGTCTTTACAATTAAAGGAAAAAAATTTTTTTTACCCTTTCTTACCTGAATACACTAATGCAAAGTCACTTGCCCCTGGGTTCTAATTATCATAGGGGACCCAAGCCATTTATAAACAGGAAGCCCCCAGAGGAAACAATGGTCCTGCCCTATCTAGCTGACCAGAAAAGGTGTGATGGGCAACCAGTACACCTGCATGTGTCCCACCTCAGAGATGAGTTACACATCAAAGTTGTCTCAGACCAGTCAGAGGCAACTGGGGGAGCCCAAAGGCTGCTGAGGGACAGGAACAGGTATATGCTCTGCACAGAGCCCTTTCTGCTCCACTATATTAAGAGTAGGCTTTTCCCAAATTTTCAAAGTCACAGTGCCTTAAAATACTGAACAGACTCCTTTGAACTTTGTTGGTAACTGTCATGCATCCTTGCAACCTGCATGCTAATTTTAAACTAAAAGCTGCTTAGCCTGGCTCAAGTGGCTAAGGCGCCAGCCACATACACCTAAGGTGATGGGTCTGAATCCAGCCCAGACCTGCCAAACAACAATGGCAGCTGCAACCAAAAAAATAGCCAGGCGTTGTGGCGGGCGCCTGTGGTCCCAGCTACTTGGGAGGCTGAGGCAGGAGACTCGCTTGAGCCCAGGAGTTGGAGGTTGCTGTGAGCTGTGATGCCATAGCACTCTACCCAGGGAGACAGCCTGAGGCTGTCTCAAAAAAAAAAAAAAAAAGGAAGTCACAAGGAGGGCGGTGCCTGTGGCTCAGTGAGTAGGGCACCAACCCCATATACTGAGGGTGGTGGGTTCAAACCCAGCCCGGGTCAAATCACAACAAAAAAATAGCTGGGTGTTGTGGCAGGCACCTGTAGTCCCAGCTACTCTGAGGCTGAGTCAAGAGAATCGCCTAAGCCCAGGAACTACGAGGCTGCTGTGAGCTGTGTGATGCTGCCACAGCACTCTACTGAGGGCGATGAAGTGAGACTCTGTCTTTACACACACACACACACAAAAAAAAATAAAAAAAAAGAAAGAAAGTCACAAGGAGTATGTCTCCTACTTTACCTGGGTTCAAACAGAGTTAATGAAGTCTGTAACATAATCTAAGTTACCTATATACAAAAATAACTATATAAATTCCTGTTTTTAAAGATTCTGGTATAGAGCCAGTTGGGCTGGGTAAAGAGAGGGGGGAGGTCAGGTAAAGCATTCCCGCCGCAGAATGCCTCAATCATCTAATTCACACAAATAGCTGTGACTTTGTCATAAGGCCAAGTATTAAACTCCAGCTACTCAGCAAACCAGTGAAGGCAGATCAGAATCACATACTGTGAGAAATGCTCAGGTGCTGCCTAGGGTGCTGAGCAGGTTAAGAAGGACACAGACAGGAATTCTAGAAAAATCTAGACCTCTCAACTTTTGCTAACTGCAAGAAATTCCACACAGAAGAATTTCTACCAGTTATTAATTTCAGAGTTAACTTTTCAAAAAGACCCAAGGGTGCGGGTGAAGTGAGATTCAGGAATCACTTCCTGACATACAAGTAGCAGGGGCTGGCTTGGGGGTGGTGCCTCTGTCCCTGCTCCCCTCTGGGGGCAACACAGTATGAAGATGAAACAACCAGAGGTCACTTGACTGCATGGTGGTTAAGTACTATTGAGAGCATGTGGCTGATACTGAAGTTCCACAGTAAGTGACCCAATTTAAAAAACCAATCCTTCATGATGTTTTTTCCGTTTCTCTCAGTTTTAAGCAGAACCAAGGTTCTCAGAGGTCTGCTGCTTATCACTCATAGACCAGCAATGCCAAGGGGAATTGGGACAGACATCTGAAGGAGAGGTCACTGAAACCAAGCCTGAGGCAACCCTGCAACTTCACTGGAGCCAGCCCACACCACCCAGGCCTCCATCCCCAAGCGCCACCTATTGCCTGGTCCCAGATCACCAGGAGGAAAGGGCTCCAAGAGCAAAGCTGGGACACACCCAGCCCACACAATGAACAATTGAGGGAGGATTCTGTGGACCTAAGTCCACTTCACACAGTAAAAGACCAGAGGATGGACTCACCCAATCCTCTTTTCTGTTATAGAATTTTCCTTTCCAGTGAAATCCCTAAGTTGCCTAAGACTTGGTTTGGTCTTAAGGTAAAATAAAACTACAACTACACACTTTTTTGCCCATGATGTCGTGAAAATGCATGTTGACAGCCTGGTCCACTGATTGTTCGTCCTCGAAAGTAATAAATCCAAAACCTAGCCAACGACGAAGAGTGAATCAAGGTAGCAGGGTGTTGTGACACAAAACAGGATGATGAACAGTATTAGGGACAGGCCAAGGGATTGACCAAGGGTTTCAGCTAAGCTGCATGTGGGGATGCCATGGGCCCTGGATCTCCCTCCCAAAAAGTGCCAAGCTTGGTAGGGCAGAGTGGATGGACATTGATGCCCATACTCCTTCAATAGCTCTGCTGACTGGAGGCACTTGGAGGACCTGAGAATGAAGTCACAGACAAATTTGGGAGAATGAGGGGGCACCTTGTCTTAAGAGGCAGCAGCCATGCAGTGGAATGGCAAGGCTCCCTGTGGTGCCATGGGCCAACATGTCCCAGGAAGGCCAGAGGGCTGTGCTAGACTATATGGCCTCTTGCTTGGGGAAGATGACAGTAATGCCCATGTGGAGGGGTCTGCCACAAGAAGGGTGTGCACATGGATGTGTTTCTGCTTTTCTGAAACCCAGGACTCTCCCCCTTGGCTGGCAATTTGCTTTGCAGCTAGTGCTGACAGCAGCCATATATCGTTCTAAAGCGTTAAACAGAGTACAGTATCTATCACAGTTAGTGCCTCGCTAAGCTTATCCAACGCTGTTGGGTAAGCCCAAGGAGTCCTATCAGAAGTAATATACGAAGGCATGTATGCATATATATGTGTATATATATATATATATAAATATAAATAAAGATTACACAGAGATACAGGCCACAACGGGTTCCAGCAGATCAAACTCTGCTGTCAGCAGCAAGAGCAAGAGGCACCATGTAATCAAAAAAGAAAATTTTAAAGGAAAAAAAATTTAGCATTTCCCAAACACAAGAAAGTGGCAGTATAAACGAAGTTTGGTTGGTCTAGGGTGAGCATGACCCCGCTAAGTGGGGTGTGTCTCATCCTCTATGTGTAGGAATACACTGGGGCCTCTAGGCCCCAACACTCTGATGGCCCCCGATACCTGCTGAGCAGGTTGTCCTCAGGGGCGGGGGACCCCTAGGAGGACCAGCACCTCCCCAGATGGTTCAACTACTCAAGACAAAAGGAAGCGAGAGGCAGACAGCTGCCTGAAGACTTTGGAAGGACAAAGAGGTACATGGAGCTGAGAACTGGGCTAAAGATGGGTGCACTACAGAGTACCACATAGCAGAGTACCATGCAGTACACCATGCTCAAGACAAAGGCATGAGCATGATGGAGAAAGGTACGGGGGTTGGAGGCAGCAGAGGGGCCCTGTAAACTGAAGAAATGGGAAGCTGGGGCTGCATCTTGCTGGGATCAGGTGGGATAGAAAAAGGATAGAAACAAGGAAAAAAAGGCAGTTCAGGAACCCAGGAGACAAAGGTTACCAGCCAAGGACAACTGGGGCCCAGAACCTTGACTGGGGCCCTGACCTGCCCTGAGCCTCAGCCAGTCTGTAGCATGACAGGAGGGGGCAGTGGACCACAAGGGCAAAGCACACAGAGGACACAAAAGCCAATGGGCCAGACCCAAGAACAGAGGACATGGGAGGTGAGTGAGGGGCAGGCCAGAGTCAGGGACCCTACACAGTGAGTGCTTCAACACAGAGAGACACCTTGAACTTGAGACATGGGCAGGATCCACACACACGAATGCATCCACTACCTTTAGTAAACTGAGAAGAGAGGGAAATGGGAAAGGAGAGACTGATCTTAGAAGAACCAGAAAGGTCAAGAAGAAAGGATGTGCTCTGAGAGGACCCACCAACCACCACCACGGCATTGCTCTTGCCCGCCGCCTTCTGGCACCCACAGGGACACTTTGAAAACCCTGAAGCCCTAAAGTTCTCTACACCAGCAACTCCTGCCCCCACCTCAATAGTAGGCTCAGCAAAATGAGCTGCATCTAGGCTACGTAAGACAGGGACAGTGAGGAGAAGGGTGGCTGGCTCAGGCAGCTGCAGAGGACCAGGGGTCCAGGAGCAGCCCTCAGATTCCCACGCACTGAAGTGTCACAAGATCAGAGGCAGTATGTGGAACATAACACAGGTAATGAAACAACATATTTAAAAGTTGACATTTTTTCTCAAACTGCAGGAGTGTCTGAAATCACAGGGCTCGCTTGGTCCATTTATAGTGCAAGAGGCGGTGAGTCGTGGGTAAGGAGCCCCGGAGCGGGCTGTCTAGGAATGCGTCTGTCAAGAGGCGGCGTCACCGCTGAGGAGCGGGACAGAAACACCCGAAACTTCGTTTACACCCCACTGGAGCAAAGCCGCTCCCTCCTCTGACTGCGGGACTGGCCTGTACCTGTGTGATATAATTTAGCACCTGGAGAAGAGAAATCTAAAGAGATATCGTTAATCACAAACAATTCACAGAGAGAAAAGGAAAAACAACTTACTTAACATTACTGTACTTTACTATGAAACACTTAAATACGTCACTAAGCATGTAATGTCTACATTAAATTAAGACTAAGACTTAACAGCTTAATTGACATGAAGTGAGGAATATGTTCCTTAATCATGAAGAGGAGGTGGGTAAAGTTCAAATGGCAAACTATTCTCCAGCATGGCAGCGCATGCTGTGGGCAATGCTGCTCGGCGTACTATGGGGCAGCCTCAACTGATCTGGGGTGCTGGGGCTGGAGGTGGCAGGGACACCTCAGGCAAACCTAGACTGGCAGAGCTGCTCACACGGCCAGCCCATAAGCAATTAATGAATCAAAAACATATGGGCAGGGACAAACAGCAGCAGCCACAGAAAAGTGCATGGAAGTCGGGTATGCGTGGCCCCAGCTCTACAGACCAATGTGACAAGCAGGTGTGAGAAGCTGAGGGAAATGATGCGGGAGGCCCTGAGACAACTCTTCACCCCTCCACCCACTTACCCCACTGACCTGAGGGGGAGGAACAAGAAAAAAAAGAAAAAGAAAAAAAAGCATGGGATGGATAACGGAAAGTCAACACTCCAAGCCGAGCTGGGCTGATCTAGCCGACCACAGGAGGTGACACTCCGACCACACTGGTGAGGACTAATGAAGAGACATTATAAATAAGAAGGTCAAAATTTAAAAGAACCACACTCTTTCAGTACACATTTAAAAACAGAAACCATGTTGAAATTCATGTCAAGCCAAAAAACACAGTGTGATGTCTGACCTTGGGAAGCATGGACAGGCTGAGTGGAGCTGCACATGAAGGGCCTACACTTTATATACTTATCTCCAAATCATCCTCTCATTGAGGCAAGGTTTGCTACAGCTACCATCTAACTGTGTCTGACAGGTGAAATAGTTTGCCATCTGAGGGAAGAACAGGTAAAGAAGGCTGAGGACAAACTAGATCTGCCTTTACCTCGAGGCCTCTGCTTCTCCGCGTCGTAGATCATGACCACTTCGGTGACCTGCAAGGGAAGGCAGTGTGAGGCCCAGGCTGGGGACATCAGGGCCATTTCAGAGAACAGGTCTCTTTCCAGAAAACCTAAGCTAACAACCACTGGGAGCATTTGACTCCAGCCATGGATGTCTTGAGACAAGAGGCCAGCTTGCAGGTCTAACACCTGAGAATAAATGGGAGGCCTTATTGGCAGGGGCTGGACACAAGCTAAAGGCCAGCAGGGGACCTGAGAGCTGGGAGACCCCACAGAAGCCCCCCACTCATAGACACAGGAAGTGAGGCCTGGAGAGGTAAAGTGTGCTGGCACTTCCTCTTTGCAGGGGGGCTCCAAACCCCTGACTCAGGACACATGGTACTCCTAGGCACCACCTGACAGACACACACCACACTCAGCTCAAGTAGGGCTCCCCCAGGGGATGGGGCAGGTTGTGTGCAGCCCATAGGACACAGTTATGAGTCATCCCATGGAGCCGCAGGGGTGATCGTGTGCCTATGCCTTGGGCTCAGGGGTGACTCCGCCTTGGCCTCCCCCACACCCACTTTAGCCCTCTCTGGTGCACCCACCTGCCAAGGGTACCAATGATCCACAGGACTCCTCTACTAAATCCCCTAATGATGCTATAGAATTTTAGCCTTTTCCAGAAAACAAAACCACATTCAAAAGTTTCTGTTCCTAAAACAAACACCAAGCAGGAAACAAATCAAAACGTCTCTTGTAATGCCCAGCATAGCCAAAAAGATGGTGCAAGCTCCACTGCAGACCTTGGGGTTCATCCTGCCCCACAAGGACTCAGGATAAGCCCCAACACAGGCATCTAGGCCCATACTCATCTACAGGGGTAGTGCCTACTATTTGGCACATCTCAGAGATGGAGAGAAAGGAGCTAACCAAGCTCCCAGGATTAGGCTTAGTGTGGACCTGCCTAGGACTGGCCCTTCTGAGACTGAAGGACAGTATAACCTGAGAGGCCCAGCTGGCTCCACACCAAGCTGGTCCCATTTCTCTGTAACCATAACCATCTAGCATTTCTCATGATGGACACAATGGAATCACAAGGGCCATCAATGAGGTCCACCTGGCCTGGAAGAGCTATAGAAACACTCCACTGAGATAATAAATGGCCATGAAAGGAAAGGCTGGGATTTGCTCCTTTGTGTGTGTGGGGGGGTAGGGGTGGGGGAAAATGTTAGAACACAAGAGAAAGCTCCCAGGCTTACTGAGCCACATAAGCCCAGGGCTTCACCACATCAGCCCCAAGAAGGCTGAGGCCAAGGAGAAGCCGCCCTGACCAGCCACTGTTGCCGGGTGGGAAAACTCACCACTCCAAATTTCTTGAAGTATTCCCTGAGCTCTGTCTCACCACAATTGTGAGGAATTCCACCAACAAATATCTTATTCGATTTACTGTTGTCGCTCCTGGGTCCTTTCTGCTGTTTCAAGAAAGAAAAAGACCATTAATTCACATGGGAACCCCCTAAAAACACTTTCCACAAGTTGTATGTGACTGCAGTGGTTAGGACTCAGTTAAAAGCCAGACCAAAACACTCTAAAAATCTGCTAAGTCCAAAGAGCAACCACAAATACAGAACTATACTTAAAGACTCTTTAGGCTCGGCGCCTGTGGCTCAAGCGGCTAAGGCGCCAGCCACATACACCTAAGGTGGCGGGTTCGAATCCCCAGCCCGCCTTCAAAAAAATAAAATAAAATAAAAATAATTGATA